TTGCTCCTAGTAGCAATGCCCTTTGCTCCTAGTAGCTCGGGGATCTTTTTGCCAAATTTCGGTGTTCGGACAGCCAGGACTTGCCGGGTGCCTTGAGCGCTGCGGAGGCGCTCCGGGACTCGAGAAAACCGGACTCGCCTCTTCGACAGGGACTGTGGCATTCCAAAAAGAGTGTGTGTTTTTTTCACCAAGACAGCAGAAAGTCATCAACTTCTCGCTTTCTTTTTGGGTCAACGTGTGAGGCATTTCGATCCATTTGTAGTTTGTTTTCATCGCCTGGTCACAGCCGTGAATTTCTTCCGCCTGGTCGCCGTGAAACGGCGGTCGCAGGTGTCTGAGTCCTTGGGCCTCACGTCAATCAGGAACCGACAGTGGGCCATCTTTCAGACGCCTGGTGCCCAGCCGACGCACCGCCCAGTGGTGTGCGAGAGGTCGGGTACTCTGATTTCTGTGAGGTCAGCTTTGAAAGGCTCCGGTATCAATGAGGGCCGCGGCCTCAGCATTTTGAATTTTGACATTGTCGGTTCATTGTGCTTTCATCGGCGAATCTGGTGAAGTATTTTGAACTGAGGTTTGGACTGGCTTGTCAGTGTTCTTTCAAGCAGCTGAGATGGGCGCAACTGAGTCAGTCAAAAATCCAATTTCATTGTGCTTCAAGATACAGAGATTTCATTGGTACAGACTTGGAGAGAGCTTTAGACCCACGTCTTTCTGAGACATCCATGTTTGATGCAGTTGGTCAACGGAAACATCATGTTGAGCTTTGGATCCCAATGCTTTCACGATCGAAGTTTCAGCGACTCCGCTGGCTGGGTCTCACCCAAGAGAGACAGGAGCAGTCAAGATGCAGGTCAATGGCTGGTTGAAAAATGAGCCATGCAACGTCTAGACATTGAAACTAGCTCCCTTAGCTTAAGTAGCTGATATGTTCAGATTGAGCCTCCGGCATACATGTCTCAAGGCAAGATGTATTTGCACCAGAGGTTCACTGTACCTACATGTTCAACCTGAGATTCTCAGAATGCGCAAAGGTGTCATTGAGATTCTGCCGCAGGTGCTCGCTGCACTGATTTCACAAAGCATGAAATAGATTGTGAGCACTTCACTCAAGAGATCAGATATAGAGCACTTCTTGAACCACTTCCTTCAGCCTTCAGCACTTTCAAAACTAGACCAACCCTAAAGCAGGAAGTAGCCTTCCAACCTACTCAGCCGTCCCACGCACACACACGCACAAGTCCTAGCTTGATCTTGGCTAAAGCCTCTTACGTAATTAAGGAATCTACCTCTTCGTAGCTTTGCTTGGCCATATCCAGTTGCGCCCTCAACTTGCAGTTAGCTTTGGATTTGTGCTCCGAGGAAGTGAGTTTCAAGGGCCTGGTTTCAGCGAGCAATTCACGGAGCAAATCACTCATCCAACATGATCCAACATGCAACACATTCTAGCTTGAAGCAGATCATACGGTACCTGGGAAACTGTGCACTGCGCAGTGTACAAACGACATGTGAGTGTTTGTCAACAGAGGCCAACAAAATTCTATATTTCGCTGTTGAAATCCAACAGATGCGTCACAGATGCACTTTGTGCTGTGAGTAACGACTTTGTGACTGTGATTGACTGTGCGAAGGTATGGCCACAGGAGGCAACTACTACGAGAGGATTAGCAGGTCTGACAGTGGGCACTGGCTTGGATTACAGTGCTTGTAACTCATGCATGAACCAAGTGTGGCTTTGGCATTCTTCTCACGCTCTCATGACAACCAGGAAACATGCGCTGTGGAAACACCTTTTGAACCAAATTGGAATGAAGGCCCAAGATCTGAATGGCCAGACATGAGAAGGACAGATTGAAGAAAAACCAGGGAACGCAGAATCAATCAACCAGGCAGTGTTTCGTGTCGCCGTGTCAAGCGTCTCACAGATGAGTGAAAAGCATCAGTTCTCCTACGCTGCAGATCGTGTCGATGACCGTGGTAAACAAAATCGCGTGTGTTTTTCTCGACGATGTGCAACTCAAGCTCCTAAATGACTGAAAAAGAGCACACTTGGAAGTACTTGCAAAGTGCACGGCTAATTTCCTTTACAAGACGAAAGGAACAGCCGTGCAGCCAATCTTCATGCTAAACAATTAAGGATGACTGACAGTGATACCGGACTGATTTGTAGAGTTCATATATTCAAGACATGGTCTCCTGTGAGGCTCTCCGAGCGCCTCTCCGGCCTTCAACAAGGAGCAGACTTGCGGGAGCGCACTTCGTGTGTGTTCAAAGGTCATCTAGTCAAGGTGTCGAAAAATCGACGGATTTTTTGTTTGTGTCCAGTGTGGCGTCCAACATTTGGTAGAGTTTTCTTACGTTGCTCTACATTATATTGTACGTATTGTATTTTGAAGATACAGTCTTATGTATTCCTGAGATTTTGTTGTATTCAGAGTACAGTCCATGAGGCTTCTGAGTGACAAATGATAATTCCTTAGCTAAATATACCAACATGGAGTATCAATCACTTTCAGCAACCTGACCCGATTTTGTCCACAGGTCTGGAGCATGAGAGAAACTCGCGCTTTGACCAGCTCAGTCAGCGGATGTGCGCTGCGAAGATAAGATGCAGCTTAGACCAGCCCCACAAGAGGTCTTCGGTAAAGTGGAGAAATCGACTGCCAAACGGACTGTCAGCTTTGGCAACTTTCCAAAGGCTCAACTTATGAGGATTGCATTTTGCTAGCTCAGCCGTGGAAGACCCTTCCTTGATGATGGAACGCAGTCAGAGGTATGATGTGGATCTGAAGCTTCAGCAAAGCCAGGCCAAAAGGGAGCGTCCTTTGCTCCTAGTAGTAAGGCCAGGAGCCCCTAGTCTAGTAGCTTCTTGTTCCTAGTAGCGATGCCATGAGCCCCTAGTAGCATCCTTGCTCCTAGTAGCGATGCCCTTTGTTCCTAGTAGCGTCCTCTACTCTAGTAGAGTGTTTCCTGACCCTTGAGAAGCTGTTGTCCTCCATGTACCCACTTGAAACTTGCATAGAATCCTGGGAGGCTCCATCAAGCCATGGCAGTCTGCCAAACATGAAGCCAGTCGAGTGGGGTTCGGGGTCCATACAAATCAGCCAACAGCCGCATGTTCCATTATTACATAAATGTTCCAACCCAGATAGTCAATATATATATATATATATTTATAGTTCAGCAGAACTTATCACAAATTGTAGCAGCTACTGTCCCAAGTGACCATTACAACAGTTTTACCGGGGTCTTACCACAAGATCAGCAATCATACTCCTTTTTCTCTGTTCGTCACCTTTGTCCTTTCATTTTCTGCGCTGTTCTATCCAAAAAACCGGCGCTTCGTGACCGGCACTTCAGGAGTCCTTGCACTCTGACCTGGCAAACCTGAAGGCGCATAGAGTCGTTTTCGCAGACAGGGGACCTTTGCTTGCCAGAATTTAGTTATACTATGTTATACTCAATATTGAAAATTGCTAGCAGTTGTACCAAGCTAGGAATCAACCGCTTCGCCGGAGATGTGGCCAAAGACCTTGGTCAGGGCCACCCATAGTACAGCCCTCCGAAGTGACCGAAGTGAAAAGACTCGAATCGACTCATCAAAGAAATGCCAAAGGAAGCGGCACGTGTTCCACGACAGGATCAACTCATCAAATTTCAGCGAGACTTTGATGAAGAGCGTTTGAGCCGAGAGGTGCGAATGCGTCGCTAGCTTGATGCGATGATGCGAATGGGACTTGATTGAGTATATTAGGGTTGAAGGATGTTGAAGGCAGGCATGTTCTGCAACAACTTTCTGCAGCTCCGCTTCGTCAACAGTCAACAGTCCATTGTGCAAATTTCTGTGGATGGTTATACAGACCAGCAAGGTTCTCACCATTCACACTGTCTATCAAGCAGCAACGTTGCGTTCTACAAGATCTAGCCGTGGAATTGAAGCTGACCCTCTGAGTTCGATGGGCGGTGGCGACTTGGTGACTTTGGCAATTAGCTTTCTATCTCTTTCTATTCCGTAAGTCTCTGCTTCTTCCTTTTGTAGAAAAGAAACCTCCCGACCACGAGCTGAAGCAGAGCGGTCAACGACGCAAAAACCTCTAGGCTCTTGGACCATCAGTCTCGATGAGTCTCGCTAGGCGCTCACTGAAGCAAGGTCGAAAGAGTTGAGCGCCCGGATGCCCAGTTTCTGATGAAAAACCGGGAGTGAAAAACAGGCGAAATGTCGTAGAAAACAAGAATCGCTGAGTCTCTGAGGATAAGAATTTGGCACCACAGTCGCTGAGTCTCGGGAAGAGTGAAGCAGCAAAATACATTTTGAATGCTATGGAATGACAGTGCAACAGAATACAACAGACCAATAAGGCTCCCTGGTTTTGACCCACAGGCTGAAGCCATGCCTTGTCCACAGCCTTCGGTTCACAGAAGCTGAGGCTGCTGACCTCCGCCTGCAGCAGGCACTCGAGACAGAGCAGCAGGCGAGATCTCAACTCCCTTTTGCAAAGCATATCCAGAACGTGTCATAATACAACACACCTCCACAACAAGCCTGTAGCAGCTAGCAAGAGCGCAAACATACCTCTTCCGGAAGCTAAGACGGAGCCGTTCCTACCACTGGGAGCGCACACGACACCCTTCCAATGCCAACCATGACACCCTTCTGCGTTCAGTGCTCGAGAGCCGCAGGCTCGACGGGATGCCGAAGCACAGGTGCTGCGGAGCTTTGATGAGCGGACCGCGGTGCTGCGGGAGGACGGAGTACAATAAGAAAGGTGAACGGTGTTTAAAGGTTTTCAGTTCTGCAAATCTATATAATCAGATCTAAACAAACCCTTTAAACCTTTGCCGAGAGAAAAGTGGATTCAGCCCACCGCATGAAAGATGCCTTTTCTCTCTGCCAGGGCAAGTCTACCAGTTTGATGTTAGTTTTTGGGTCAATCAACCCGATCGAAACAAATGAGTTGTTCAAACAACCCATGAAACACTTCACAACTGTCAACATGGACCTTCTTTGAAACGAACATTTCTATGGCTACTGAAGACATGCACACGGAGGCAATCCTGAGGCAGCCTGCAACAACTCGGTCGTCTCCAGCACTGAGCAGGCACGAGTTGCCGAAGTGACAAATCCATTCTCCCAGGAGATTGCAAAGGAGGGCCGCTCCAGGGTAGCGGCCTTGGTGTTTGGCGTCAGCTGCCACTTGATGCTTTGGGCATGCCGAGGCCGAGGCCGAAGCAGCGCTCCGACGATATGCGCGGGCCGTCAGAGGACCGGGATCAAGGAAAGCCATAAAGCTTGTGACCACAGCGTTCAAGCACTTGACAAATGTATGTCAAGCCTCCACCTGCAGTGTTTCCCATAAGGTCGATGTTGATATCCCCAAGCTCTATGAGAGCTTGCGTGATGCCTGCACCTTAGAAGCCGTCCCGAAGCCGTCCCTGAGGTCGATTCTCGCTTTCATTCGATTTGGAGTAGGGCATTACATGGGCGTTACTAGTAGCCTGCAACGCACCTGCAACTCATTCGTTCTCGAACGAACAAGAACAAGGGGCCGAGGGGCCAACTCCCTTTCGAATGGGTACTACAGTTCAATCGATGTTCTGACACGAACTTATCTTGGTTCATCGCTCGAAGCCCAGAAGGGCCTAGGGCCCAAGGGTTGTACCAGCGTCCTGGTCCTCCACTTGCCGAGAATCTGTGGCTCCGATCAAACCTCGTGTGCAGTCACTTCTCAGCATGCCTGCAGTGCTTTGCAAGGAAGCACAATCCAGAGAGACCATGGAAGATAGGATCGTGAGGCAAAGTGGGGTTGCTTGGCTTCATGTTTGATTCGAGATACGAAGATTTTGTTTATCAGTAGTTTAATGTAGTTTACAACAAGATCCGGAATCACTGGAACGGACGCTGATACTCAGAGACCGACGTTCTGAGACCGTCGTTCTGCAAGTTCTGAATCCATTCTGCCCCGACGAGAGGCGGGCATCTGACGAGATCAACCGGCTCCAAGAGGCACACGGCGAGTTTGGGATTTGGATTCGAACGTCGAGACCGTCCTCGCACCTTGGCCAGTACAGCCTCAGAATGTTGGTCCTCAAGTCCCCCAATGCATTGTACATTAGTCGGTACAATCATCCTGATGAGAAGGAGTCTGATATTGTTATGATGTACGCTAAAGCTAGTTCTGATGACACAGCAAAACATAAAAAAATGCATAAACAATGCAAAAAAGATGCAAAACAAATGCAATGAAAAACCACAACAAATGCGATCAAAAACGTTCTGGTCTTTGCCTTTGCTTTTTTTTTGCTTTGTATTCTTTTTTTTTGGGCATTTTTTGTGCGTTTCCTTGAGACAACGCAAAAACAAAATCGCAAAACATTGCAAAACAAGTGCACAAAAAATGCAAACAAAATACTCGCACATAAAACGCACAAACATCGAACACATATCGCACAAAAAAGGTGGTGTGTGAAATTTGGTTGTGCATGTGCATTTTTTGTGCGTTTTGTTTGCTTTTGTTTTGCGTTTTTTAAACTGTTGTTTTGCGTTTGATTTTTTGCTTTTTGATATGCAATCTTTTTGACCAGCTGCCTTTTTTTTGCTTTTTTACGCACTTCTTTTGCATTTCCTGGTCATCATATGTGAGTGTGGTTTTGCATATTTTTTGCTTTTTTATGAATCCTTGAGATTTCAGAGTTAGGCTGTAAGGTACATCATAATGATATTGCCTACGTGAGCATGTTGGTTCTTTCTGCTGCTTGGCCTGGCTGGTCAGGCGATCCTGACAGAGAAGAAAGCGCGAGAGGACACTGAAGAAGCTCTCCTGAGGATGATGGAGGACAGGATGATTCATGATGATTCTCTGCGATGCCATGGTGCCACTGTGGGGGAGGAGTTTTTCGTGTTCATTTGTTGTCCGCGGCAGGGTTTTTGTATTGTGTTGTCTTCAGGACACAGTGGCAAAGATGAGAGCAGAGATCGCACAGGAGCCTTACATACCAAGATCAATCTCAAGCATCTGACAATGTCCCATCGGCCAAGGTTCAGTATGTGTCTATTGAGACGTTTTTCTCATTGCCTTTGTGTTCATGGACATGGTCCCACTCATGCATGTCGTTTAAAACCTGGATGGCGCTCAGCCACGTTTGACTTCAGCTTTATTCAGCTTTACGTAGCCTCTCTGAGGAGAGGGCTGATCGAGAAACCACTGAAGAGACCCTCCTGAAATTGCTCGAGGCGAGAGATTTTGCCTTGTACATGCTAGGTAGATAGCACTCACCCTGTCAAGCTTCAACATTCGGCTTCTCCGGGTTTCGGCTTCAATCTATTTAAAATGTGAGTTGAGTGAGTTGAGTCTTTCCATTCAGCCGGCTGTCTTCTTTGCACTTCTGAGAGCTCCAAGACCATTCTCACTCAGTTTTATGTGCGTGGCGCGGCCGCGTTTTCAAGCAGGAGACCTGCAACAAGCTCAACACGGCTTCCCAAGTTCTCTGAGGGAAGCGACATGTCCAATGTGATCCACTGATCCGATCTGGTCCGTTATGCAAACCAGGTTTGCAGCATGTCACCGGAGGGATTCCTCCGAGTGGTCGAGCAATGACTTGGATTACAATCTCATTGTCTTAATGAAGGGATGTGGCGAGCCTGCAAATGGGGTGATGCACGCTCGTGTGTGCAAGCTTCACTGAAACTGCAAGCTTGGGCACTCAAAATCAGCGCGCCACGTGCTACTTGAAGCATTTTGGAGCTTTTAGAGGTTTATAATGTTTATATATAATTATATATATATAGACATATTTGTTGAATGGAGATTTATTTTTTCCATCTTGTGGGGAAGCATGTATCTTGAATCAAGTCGACTCTTGTGTGGTCTTGCGTCGTCAGTATTCTCCAGGAAGAAGGAATGGACCAGCAAAAGAATGGCACTGTTGGACCTGCGGTCAAAGTTGAAGAGGAGTCTTAGAGAAAGAGCTTTAATGCAGCCGTATCTCGCAAGCAGCAAAGGAAGGCCCCTTGAAGGAAGAAGACTTTGCCCCTTGCTGGAGCCTCCACTCCTTAACTGATCCACTGAAATTATCATGCAGGCCAATCCATAGATATATATATATATACACAATCACGCACACCTCTATATAATGTTAGCAAATGACTGACACAGCCTGAGAGACGCCATGTGTGCACATGACCACCACATCTGTCCTGGATGTCAGCCCCAGACTCAGCTTGGTCTTGCAATCAATTGCTCTTCTTGATCGGCACACTTTTGGGAATACAGTTGAGAACAAAGTCCCTATGGATCTCGTGTGAGGGATCGTCAGCCTGCATGGGCCATGTCTGGAATGACCGCCCTCATCCAATTTGATCAGGAAGGGCATGGGTACGCGACTCTAAGCGAATCTCGTTTAACAAGAGATGCTTCTCAGATCCGCCGCCGTATGGCTAGAAATGTGGGTCTTCATTCAGACAGGTGTTTCTCATGGGATCAAATCCATGAGACTTGTTTCTTTCATTAAAGCGAGTAGACCAAAGCTGAGATCAGCAGAGATCCTTTGGGTGAGGTCGAGGTGCGCTGAACTTCGGCGATGAGACCCTCTACTTGGCCGCAGCCCCGCAGGGAACAGTCCGGAACAGTGGAACGAACCCATTGTCAAGTCTTCAAAGCTTTCAGCTTGGCGGTTGAAATCAATAACTTGAGGCAGTCTTGAAGGACTACTCTCAAGAGCTACTGGCGTCGGTGCCTTGCAGAACTCGTCCTGCCCAAAACTAGCTCAGTTCTGGCTCTTGGTGTAGTTGGGCAAGCGTTTGATGCAAAGTCAGCTAACTTGAGATCTTAACACGTGTGTTTGTCATTCCCCAAATTTGGACCACTCATCCCGCCCGCTCCACGATTTTGGGCGGATTCTTTGACAGGTGCATCGCATTGAGTCCATCAGCGACAAAACCGCGCACGGGGTCGCAGTTTGTCCTGATTTTCCAGCTTGTGCTTTTTACTTGCTCTTTGGAACTACTAGAGCCTCTAGTGACTCTAGTCTAATTAGTAGATCCTAAACCCGAGATGGCAGCCTTTTGAACATTTGAGAAGCCTTTGTTGCATGACTCTTTGCTTCGAGAAGATGTGTTCAAATGAAAGTGGTGGTACAGTCAAGCCAGTTGATCTGGAACTTGTACAGCTTCCGCCATGTAGATTCTGGCCGATCCAGACTTACCCAGAACCAGGAGCAGTCTGCATGTCGGAAGACTTGCAACTGCCACCAGGGCTTGAGGTACCTGAAGACCGGCGGCCTCAGCGACCTCCGCTTCTTCAGCGGACAGGTGAAGAGCAAGAAGCCTTGCCACACAGCGAGCACTTTTGCAGATCTGCAGATGCTGAGTTCTGGACGGATGAATTTGGACTCCATCCGAATAGCTCCCTTTGGTCGAAGTCGAGGATAATGATGATCAGGAACATACCAGCAAGATGTACTGAGCAAGAGATGGTTGACCTGATCAGCACCATTGCCTCAAACTTTACTCTGGAGATGCCCAGGATATTTGGACAAGCTCTTTTGGGCAAATAGATTTTCAACAGCTATTCACATGTTTTGCTTTCTGAAGAATAGTGTCTTGTAGACCTGTAGACGCCCAACTAGTATGATCAGACCTGATTGCACCGCCAGGACTTCCAATCGCAAGTGCAAAGGCTATGCATTCCTGAGGGTCCATGAGGATGATTTGATGCAGCAGCTTGCGGCCTTCTTTTGGCAGCGGCAGCTCCCCACGCGGAACAGCATGCGGCCCTTGAAGATCCACCCAGCTGAGAACGTCAGATAGTGTGATTTGGCAGGGAACTCGCAGGGACCCAAGGTAATATCCTGGACCACCTGCAAGCAACCTGCGTCAAATTTGGGCTGTCGATTCTTTCTTTTTCAATAGCTCTTCCGACAATTGAGGTAGCACTTCGCTGCTGGTATAAGGTAAGAAAAACCTGTCCTCAATGTGTCGTCACGGTCAGGCGCTCACACCATGATCATGGCACTAGTCACTAGTGCACTCTCAGTACTGGGAGATATGATTGGCGTTGACCGCGACAGTATTATAGTATGCATTATAATATGTATTCTGCTGTGTGGGCCTAAGAGGGACCATTTATTGGTGAGCTGTAAGAAGAGTGCACGGCTCGGTGTTCCAGACGTTTGGTATTTGCCCCAAGGCAGGAAATAGATCACTCAGGGCTTGCAAGGACCTTGCACTCTCTAGCTCTCATTCAAAAGGATAGCTGATAGCTCTCCTGATTGTGCCAGCGAAGCTTCATACGGAGGATCACTTGTACGGCAGATCCAAACCAAGCAACAAGAAGGTACTGGCACAAGACTTGCCTAGCCATCTGTTTTTGGAACAGGAATCCAAGAACGGGCTCTTGGCCCATCAATCGATGGGGTGGACATAATTCACTCTGGCTTGCAAATGCTCAAGTCACAGACTCATCACGCTTTTTTTGATGTGGAAAGATCTGTGCCATTTTTTTCGTGCGTCGCGAGTCGCCCCGTGGCAGAAGATAAGATGGTAACATCATTTTGCACTGAAAGAGAACCCTTGCCCTTCCTCACTACCACTGCTTTTGCGAACAAGATCACAATAACTTTTCAGTCGGGTTTGAATGCCTTCCAGCAGCAGCCCATGCCCCCACATTCCTTGCACCTTCCTCGTGTCGATTTTTGGATCAAGGCTGAAGGATGAGGTGGCGTTGCTTCGAGCCTCGGCCTCGCGCGGAGGCTTATGGAGTGTGAACATCCAGATGTCTTTCCTACTAGGAAGAACACATCAGCGCGAGGTCAATTACTATGACTGTGGGTCAAAACCGGGGCACCTGGGTTGAGACTACGGGAGGTCAACCTACCAGGGTGGGGCCTTCGGGTCGTTTGGCGTTCTTCGGGCTTGGCCGTTTCGCCGAGCTCGCCTTGAAGAGGACCGATGCCGATCTCCCAAAAACACTCGCCAGGGACCAATCAACCGTGATCGACCAAGACTCGACCAAGGGGGATCATTGATCAGATAGATGTACTGTCAGTGATACTGATGGAACGCAGATCCAAAAGAGTCATAGCCTCTGCCCCCAAATCTGTTCGTCACACACATTCCCAATACCGGTGGCATTATTTTTGGGTGGTGATGGATTCTTTAGATTCTTTGGATTGTTCATCAAGACAGTCACAAACTACAGAGAGGACGGACCGGTGACAAGGTACATGGCTGCAGAGCGGCTGAAGGCTGCAGCATCAGCGCTCCTGTTGGCTCTGGAGTCCCGTCAAGGCTTTGGATGGCCCAATGAGTCAAGAGGTGCTTTCGTATGGTCATGGCTAGCCTGAGGCTTGTGTGGCGATGTTTCTTTTAACACTCCAAGCTCATGATTGCTTTTCCACTGTTTAGATCTAACTGGGACATGCTTCTGAATTCTTTTCTCATTGCTGCTTTGAATATATCCTTCCAAGAAGTGCCCAAAAACCAAACAGAAACCTTGAACATGGACCCCCCTACAACCCAGTAGTTTTCAGGGTCTAGGGAGGGTAGGCCAAAGATTGGTGTGCATAGATTCCTTGCGTGCAGGGAACGAGGCTGCCCTGCGTGCAACTCTCTGCGAGCAGGCAACTTTGCTGTGCGCTCTTCGGTATGAGATGATCTAGCTACTGCCGGACAATCTGCCAGGTGTTGCGCACTGTACTAGGCTTTCCAGGCTTCTCAAACACTTCCTGGTTTAGATGTATTGTGAACACTTGTCAATGATGTTGAATTCAACTTAACAATGGGCTGAGCGGCTAAGCTCCTCTTGTTCGGCCTTCATGCTCTGAGAATGTCAGGCCCGTGCTGTGTGTGTGGAGGCAAGACCACTGTACTGGCTGACCTGGGAGCTGTTGTCATCCTTTGTGCATCTTTGTCGTAACACTGGAGCAGTTATGGCACGGCCATACATTTTTGCATATTTGGATTATTTGGACCTGTTTCGACCATGTCTTTTGCAGGTCTATGATGTGTTTGGGTCTGAAAATTACCAGTTTCATTCACATGGAAAGCCACCTTTGACCTTGCTTTTTCGGTGACGAAACGGTCTCTTGAGGGTCGGTTTCTTTTGACGGTCGATGCCTTGCGTTTTGTCCTCAAGCTCTGGGGTTCATAGGGGATGCCCGGCTGCCTCACGTGCGGGAGGGCTTGCTTCCTCGATCCCTCTGGGCATTGCAGGGCGTGTACAGCGCTGAAGAGGCTTGGAGGAGAACTTCGCTTCGTTCCAATCAGTGAGTTTGACGCAGGATTGACCGTGTACACGCTCGAGAGAGAGCTTTGCGGACGACTGAGTACCTGAGGGACGCTGCGCACGCTCAGGCAGAGCGAGCTGAACATGACCAACAAGCTAGCAACTTGGGACTGTCTTCAAGCTGGAGGTCAAAGGTGACCGAAGAACCAGTTCAGGCAGCCGGATGAGACCAAGAGAAGGTGCAGAGGCTGAGAACGAGGGCTTTGGCCACTTCGAGATTAGAGATCAGGAGCGATGGTGTTGGATGCAGCGCAGGTAGGAGTAGTCCTGATCACCGAGTGGAAGGTGTTGGCATCGAAGCTCCGCTCTTCGTCATGAGCCAGTGGGTGAACTCGGACGGAAGCATCAGTGCCACCACTGTGTCCTTTAGGGACACGAGACTTTCATCACCCTCAAAAACGAAGACCCAGACTCTGACTCACTGACATGGTTCAGATTTGTATGGCCTCCAACTTCGAGGAGGCCGGCAACTACTTGTGACTTGTGTCATATCATATTCGAGAGCTGCGCGCTGTAGCAGCGAGATTTGGACAGAGGGTTGTGGGTCACTCAGGGTTCAAGGGTTGGGCTCAAGTTTGCACGCGGTATTTGGAGATTGACGTGAACGAGCAGGTGAGCACCCGTACAGGACCTTAATCAAAGCGTACTTGACGGACAACGAAGTGGCTGGCATCACAGACTAGGTTTTCTCTTTGCCGAGAATGTTTGTTCAGTGGACAGGGAAGCTGGTGATTACAGGGTAGATAGCGAAGACATTGCCCCTATTTACCCCCTTATCAATACCGGGACTGCTGCATTCTTGACAAGGTTGAGACGCTTGGCCTGTCAACGCCGACGAACAAGAACAACTCCTGGAGTCACGCGCTTCAGTTGTGAGTGCTTCATCTGCAAAGACAGCCGCAGGGGCTACGAAGAAGCGCGGGTCCCTTCTTGGCGACAGTTTGGTGTGTTTTCTGCGAATGCCTGTAGAAAAAGGGTGCCGCGTCCACCGTCGACCGGTGGAGCGTTCCAATGTGGATACGCTGAAAGACTTTGGCCGGGAGCGCTCTCACGCATCACCAGAAAAAGTGGGATATAGGAGGACCCCAACCTTTTGGATCCTCGCCGACCGATTCTTCCGAGGCCCCACGAGGGAGAGCGTAATGGAAATTTTGGATCACTACGGGGTTGCTGCAAACCCAAAGGTTTTTCCGCCTTCAATTTTTTTTGGCGGCGCATCGCTGTAGCTCATAGCTCAACATCAACAGGCGAGCGTGCGTGTACCAACTTCTTAGAGAGGATAGGCACCATCCTTCGCTCAAGTAACGCGTCAGTTGGAGTTGGAAGCAGTGTATAAAGCAAAGGACGACAACGTGTGGCGAGGAAAGCGAACGCCTAGACGCCTAGTTACCCAATTGCAACTTTTACTCATGAACTGCCACGTTGACTCCATGGAGAATCCGACACATCATACTTCACGGCGTCAAAGGCAGAGGAACTGCTGGGAGACGGGCAGAGGGACAATGGCAGAGGCTGTGGATGCGGTTCATTGCCGGTCTAAATTTGACGTGGAGGTTGTAGAAAACAAGCGTCGGGGATGGCGTGGGTCAGATGGGGTTCCGCCCCTACTACAGTTACTACAGCTTACGTAGGGGTGGTGCCACCTCGCTCCACAGACAAGGATGCTTACTGAATCTGTCTTGGTTTCGGGAAGATGGAAGCCAACCAGTAGTGCACGAGGCCATGTGCATGACGGCCGCTCCATTTCACCCCTAACGCTGACTGAGCTCTCTTTGTTTTCCAACGAGTTTCCCGCGTTCTTTTGCGCTTGAATGCTGGCCCGCAACCAATCTGAAGCGCCCAACAGTTCGAATGAGTTCTTGACATGAAATGGATGAAAGAAGGGCGAGGAAAGGCCATGCCGCATTGGCTCCCAAGCTGGCGAGCAAAGGAAAGACTTCTGCCTTTGCTTTTGAACGCTGGCCAGCAAACGATTTGAAGCGCCCAACAGTCCTGCCACATGGACTGAATGAGCTCTTGAAAGAAGGGTGTGAATGTTTAGAGAGCTGACGCCAGTCATCAAATGCAATCCTTGCCTTGCTCACAGAAACTACCAAAAGAGGTTACCATTCTTCTGGGGTGAGGAGTTCAAGGATCCACGAGTGGTCACTGAGCCCCTGGATTAACATTTTGCAAATATTGATAGATCGCAAGACCCAAAAGCGACAAAGAGTGAAATATGAAAAGGCGCTGCTGGAAAGGGGCGCGGACGAAACAGAACAAATAGAAAATATGCCCAGAGGAAAAAATCGCACAATATTGCGTTTGATTGCGCTGCAAGAATACTAATTGAAATTAATAAGCAGGTGGTGTGAGGAGTTGAGCAGGGGTCATTCTCTGACAGACAGAGCCTTCTCATTACTGTAATGAAAAAATGTGCCTGGTAGTCGCCCCTATTTACTTTAAACAAACTATAGACAATAATTGATTGGACCCTAAGTATGGTTTCAATTTACGCTCGCAATATAGGTGGCGAGGAGTCCGATCGATAGTTGTTTTTAATCGAGGGGTCCCTGGGGGACTCTTTGCATTAGTGGAGGAATGTGGAGGGAATATGTAAAAAGGATACCGTTATTTGTTCACACAAAAGGGTTGGAAACTAATCGCGGCAAATTGGAACGGTTATATATATACATTTTTTAGTTTGAAACTTTCTGTGGTTTGAGACAACAAACTGTTTTGGAGCGGTCACCTTCCACAACTAACGAAGCAGAATGAAAGCGTCATTCACTTGTAGACCTCTCGTCATCTCCGCAGGCCCGAAGCGGCCTTGGCCGACCACCCCCACGGGTCACGGCCAGCGGATCGGAGGATGACGTTGATGTGCCAGTTCTTGAAGGTGTTGCCGGGAAGCCACCAAGGCCGGTGTGACTCTTATGATTCCTTAAAAACAACCGATGCATTTAATGTCGACCTCTGATAATAAACAGTGGCACCTATAAAGAACATTTACGAGAAGGTTTCTGAGTTTTGGTGATTTCAAGCAAGCAAATGAAGAAGGAAGGACTGAAACAGGAACCAAAGAGGGAACCAACTAAGAAGAAAGACATGACATGTTCAAACAGCAAACGTTCAAGGATGTTTCCCGATCATTAGGGTACTGTACACTTTATTTAGGGTACGATGGCTTCATGGGGGGCACTCTTTCCAGAGTGGTTTTGGTCAATTGCTGATGGTTTTGAAAAGGGATTTATAAAGAATTTTCATCAGCAGGTTTTGGGGTTTGGTGATTCTAAGTGATGAAATGAAGAAGAGAGGAGGCCAGCAGGTATCCAGAAGAATACAGCCATGAAAGGCACCAACACTAAATAAAGCTTGTTAAGGGACTTTTGGGCAGAGGAAAGGCTTGCGAGTTTTTAGGGTACACGTTATTCAGGGTATGGTGGCTTCAATGGGGGGCACCCTTCCCAGAGTGGTCTTGGTCAATTGTTGATCATTTTTGAAGAAGGCTTTTATAAAGACTTGAGATGAACAATAATTTGTATTGGCGAGAGGTTACTGGAATTGAGATGAGAGGGCATTTGTGTTTGGAAGAGGTTCCTAGACTTGAGTTGAAAGGAACATGAAAGGGATCAAGCTACATGATTCTTGATTCAGGAAAGCCTGCAGCTTTATTTAGGGTTATTTAGGGCATGGTGGCATCAGGGGAATTTTTTCCTTTTTAATATTGGGGAAATTCTTAACCAATTATTGTCGCAGGGCGGAGTTCAGGAAAGTTCTTTAGCTTTATTTAGGGTAAACTCTAGGGTATGGTGGCTTCATGAGGAATACTCTTCCAGAGTGGTTTTGATCAATGTTTCATTGGCTTTAAATGAAGGAATTTATACAGAATTGTTGTCCGAAGGTTTTGTGGAAGGATTTGAAGACGGAATTCCCAGAAGCAATCTGTTAACAAAGGAATGAACAGACCTAAACACTAATTAAATCAAGTTCAATTTTATGAGACAAGAACCATGTTTAGCTCTTTTTAGGGCGGTATGGTGGCTTCTGGAAAATTCTTTAGTTTTTTTAGCGCACACTCTATTTAGTTGTTTAAAACTGTTGTTTGTAATCGATGTGTGTCCAATGTGTGTGTGTGTCAAGCCCTGTCTCGAAGGGTCTTTTCCACCACGTGATACCGCAGGGGCGTGTGGCCTTCTTGTCCTACCACACGCAACGAAGCTGTGGACAAGAAGGGGAAGCAGGGACTGATCATCCCTGTGTACCTGCTGAACTTTTGACCACGCTGTCTAATTTGCTTTGTTTGATTCCATGGTTCTTCATGCTACCACCCCCAAACCCTTTCCCACCGCAGACTTGCAGCCGCTTTGCAGCCGCGCTTGTGTGTCCCATTGCAAACATTGTTCAACCATACGGTTCTCGCCGACCTCTCCACCTTGCCGTTCCATCACCTTTTTTCCTGGAAATTGAGTTAACTGAAAACCAATGTCGAAGTGTGAGCCGCTCAGCCGTCCCACGTGGGTGCTGGGTGTGATCCTCCGCAAGGAGGCGCCGTTTACATGGCGGAAATTGAGCCACTGAATCATCTTCCTTTCATTGACTTTTCCTCGATCTTTCTCTACCCTGAATTCACTGCTCATACAGCCGTCGGGCTATAAAACGAATTTGCCAGCCGCTGGGCTTAAAAACGACTTTTTCCTCCCTCCTCCCCCCCCCCC